AAGAATTGAGGAAGGTGTATGTTTTCCCTGAGAAGACATGCATGTATCACAACCCCTCTAAATGTAATATCCGCCTCGACATTACTAAACTAACACTCAACACGCCATTGTGATAATTAAAATTAGATAAAATCCCATAAAGAAGTTATTATAATCTAAGGGTTTAAAAGATAATTAATTTAAAATATTGGGATCCTAAAAAAACCCTTTTTAAAATATTGTTTGAGCTCAAACTATAATTAAAAATTAATTAAGAACAAGTAAGGAAGTATGGAAATCAAATCACTTCAAAACAGGCTAAAACAAGCCTTTTTGAAAAAATTCTGGCCCGTCCACTACGGCAAATGGCACAGAGGGACAAGTCTCTCGAAGGTCGCTTGCGCCGCGACGCGCACTTGCTGTCATGATAGCTCTCCAAACTTTCAGAGTGCGTCGTTTCGCTATTTGAAGCCCAATTTGGGTGTTTTAAATATTTCAAGCCCTCTAACTAATGACACTAGTCTCACACTCAAATAATCATTCATTTAAGAGAAGGACACCTAAACCCAAAATGGTTTGTTTTTACTTTAAAACACATAGAAGTGTCTAACTCATAATGCCAATTGCCATAGCCCTAAAGACACTTTGATCATTTCAAATGGACCATACACAAACATGACAATTCAATTATAACACACAATTAACCATTCATACTTAAAATGATCATTAAAACCTTAATTCACAATAACATAAGGGGTGGATAAAACCTAACACATATATTAGCTTGGTCATTTTGGCACATTAATCATTTGAAATATATCACATGTAAGTATAACTTAGCTAAGCACACATACTTAATCCACAACATTAACCTTCAACCAAGATACACACACTCTTACCACAAATTCATATCAAGGGGTAATCACAACAATGTTATATTCCTAGTTAGCATTATATATTGACAATATTTGTTACAATACCCAAAAAGAGGAAAGGAAAGAGCTATACAACTATGTTTTTCACTCTTCAAACGCCCCTTCCTTTTCCTTGCTCTTATCAGAGCCCTCACTTGTAAAATATAACCATGGGGTGAGATAAACATCTTAATAACAGAATAATTTACTACTATTAATTAACATGCACAACCATAAAAGAGTAAAACTATAAAAATCCAAAATATACTTTTAGCATATCACCACATACTCTTTCCATCAGTACAAATCTTTTACCACTAACATGATCATTCTACCATCCGAACCTCCATATCATCCCGACTAAAACTATAGGCTATTGAACTAAGTACACATTCACAACGATCCGAGCTCACCTTTAGTGGTAAGATCACATGGCCAAAGATGTCCTATCCTACTTTCGGACTATGGTTTCCCCCTATCGTATATGAATTGAGGTGTCATTACTCCATACCGCATCGTTAATGTTAAGGAACATTACTCTCCTATGCCATATCCCACATCGACACTAAGGAGAAAATCTTCAACACCGTACCTCATTAGACACTAAGGAGATACATGCTATGTGAACTTCTACTACTTCTTTCTACGGGTGAACTCCCACCCCCTAACATGATCATGCCCACACTCAATATATATATCACATATACATTTCAAATTTCTCAACCCATTCATATATAACTTTTATCATCCTCATCATTTGCAAATAGATTTTTCATGCACAAAACCACATTTCATAATATGTCAGGTTATCAAACCTCAAGTAATAGATTTAACATATATATTCATATACAGTTAAGCAATATAATTGAATAATGTAAATCATTCCGTTACCTCAACCCTTTGTCATGCAAAAGGGTTACCGTGGCTCAACGTTAACTTCACATATTCTATACGCACAATATAGCTCGAACAATACTCAATCTACATAATTAAGTAACAATTATCAATTATCACTCTGGATAACTCTGAATTCACTAGGTTTTAAGTGTCTAAAATACTCAAATTTCTTTTTCAACAACATCAACCATTCCTAAACACTCTAACCATCTATTAAACATCCCAACACACCAAAATCACTAGTCGATTCCCTACATTGTCTTAAAATCTTTAAATTATACTTAGGGTTTATCCAAACCCTAACTAAAAATCTCAAATCACCATAACACTTATAAACCTAGAGTTAGAAGCTTGATTTAATTCTTCAAGACCTTAAATAAATTAATAGGTTTGGTATAAACCTAAAGGAATTGAAATTAAAGCTCTCATTATCCTAAATGTTTAGATTTTCGCATAATGAGGGAGAGGGAGAAGAAAGAAAGGCGTACACAATGTATATGAAGCTTGAAAGGCCTCCAAAATCACGTTGCAAGCAAGCCCCAGTAGCCACAAGTCTCTCTCCATCGTTGCCCTCAAGTTCCTTCTTCCTCTCTTCTATTTTTTAAGTTTGATTTGCGATTTGATAAGTGTAAATTTTGCACATACACCGCAGCACATTGACACGCCAGCCATGGCACATGGCACAGAAAGTCTCACCAAAATTTAAACTCCCTTTCGTGCCATAGCCCTCTCAAACATCGACCTAGCCCTCTTTAAGGTTGTCTAAGGATCCAAAAATTATATTAATTTTTCATAAACTTCATTAATCAATAATTTATTTAAATTGAACAGTTTACCCTTAGAAACATTGAAATTTACAAATTGAGAAACTTAGGATGTTACACTAAAGCCCTCAATTTCTCTTCCGATTGCCCTTTACTACTTATGGGTTTCACTTCTTTAGCTTCAATTTCTCTAAAGTGCGAAAGAATTTTTCAAGCTCAGGTACTTTTAGGTTTCAACAAATCAAGCCCTGAATCACAATGCAAAGATTTCTTTGACTTTTAGGTCGCTTTTTTGACTTTTCCACTTCACCTTCTTCACTTCCTTTAGCACCTCATTGTTTGGCTATCAGTATGGCCCATATCACTTCTCAAGCCTAAATCATTTGCTACCAAATATAGGGGGAGGCCATCAAATCTTCAAGATACAGATGTCACTCAATAATCTATGGCTTGATTTTTAAGTTTTTATGTTTTTGCTTTTGATTCAAATATTTTGTTCTAATTCAATGGCTTGTTGTTGTATTCTTGATTTGCTGCTTCTATTTGGTATTGCTTCCTCTCTGATCCTTGATCTCTCACATCAATGGCCAAGGATTGGGTTGTGATGAGGAAGAATTTCTCCTTCTTCTTTTTTAATTTTTTTTTTTGATAATAAGACATGTGGTTGCCAACTATGTACTTAGATTGGAATGAAAGGGCAAAAAAATAAGGTGGATAACAAATGGACATGCCAACTAAGTTGAATAAAGTCAAATAATGGTCAAATGTTTGCTTTTGTTAAAATTAGGTAACATTGCATTGTTTTTAAAAGGTAAAGAGCAACATTGCACTTTTTAAAATTTTAATATACCAATTGCACCTTATAAAAAATTTTAAAAATAGATTTGCACCTTAATCCTAAAAACATTAAATGCGTGGACGATGGATGGGCCTTTCCCTTCTGCTAAGAGTTTTCTCGGCTCATGTGATGTATCTAAGCACATTAAGAACAAACCTCCTTGTCAAGCTAATAAAATATAAAGTGATACGTATTAGAGTTGGGAATAAGAAGATTCACTAATCTTTCTTCCCATCCTCTTTCCCTTTTTACCTAATTTCTAACTATTAGATTAAATTATTGGATGGTCTAAATTTAATTTCATATAAAGTATTTCACATTATTTTATGTTTACTATATTTTTTAATTGTTCATGTTAGCTTTTAGTAGTTTGAATTTTATTGTTTATATTTTTTAATAGCCTCACATTTTAATAAAAGATCAAATTTAAATCATCTAAATCTTGATATATTAGAAAAAGAAAAAGAGGGGAGGGAGATGGGAAGAAAAAAGAGAAAATTCTCCCCCAACCAAATCCTGAAAAGATTAGGAACTGTTTGAAACCATTTTTATTTTATTGTTCTGAAAATTAATATCTTGTAACACATATTCTAAGAACAAAAAAATAATAAAAATAAATATTTTTCTTATTTTCTTTTGTTATTAAAATAATAATTTCAGAATACTTGAAAGCTATTTTCATTTCTCTATTTTTTAAAATAATATTTTATTTTTTATTTTTTAAAACACTTTTTGAAAACATGTTGCCTAACAGATTTTTTTGTTTTTTGTTTTGAAGAATAAAAAATTGTTCCCAAAACAATTTGCCAAATAGGCCATAGATTTGAAATGTTTTATATATATACTTATATTTATAAAGCTTGTTCTTGCTACAGGCTTCTTAGAGCCTAGGGACGGCCTTCGGCTCATATAAATAAATTTTTAAATAATAAAATTAAAAAAATTAATTTAAATCATAAAATTACAAGTTGTATAATTTCAAAAATGTTAACACGTAATATAAATCAACTCATTATCTGAAGTCCAAAGTAAACCATTTTCTAAAGTTCATATAAATAAACCATTATCCAAAACTAAACCATTTTCTAAAGTTTAATTTTACAAATAAGTTTGCATGACAAAAAATATACAGGTAATAATACTATAGCAAAACAAGTATAGATCACCCTAATATTCAAAACCATGCAACAAGTGTCACTCAAAATAAGAGAAATAAAAGGAAAAGAAAGGGTAGGATTTGTATTTTATTCCAATGGCTTTACTTTTTTTTTAATGTATATAACAATGGTTTTACTTTTAAGTCATAGAATTTTTTTTAAAAAAAATTGTCATATTAGTTAGGTTCGGTTTCTTTAATATGCTTTGTGCATATTTTCTTGGAATAAATAGCAACACAATCCATTTGCTTTTCTCCACTTCGTAATCTGATCAAAACGTTTTGGTGCGTACAATAACATTCTCACAATCTGAGGCATCTTCTCTGTCTTGCTCTTCAATACAACGCCGTGGACCAAAACATGGTGATCCCAAGTTCTTGTCAGATTTAAGAAAAAGCAAAGACAAAGATTTTCCAAAAACAAGGCAAAGAATAACTTTTGCATGCCGAGATAAAAGATTCTCCCTCCGCATTCCATTACTTCCCTGGAAAGATCTCTCAAGAAATTAAGCGATCCAGCGTCAGCGGCACTGACAAGTATATATATAAACACGTTGACTAATATACACAGCACAAAGATAAAGCTCCACGTACTTACAGTATTCTGGAGGTTTTGTTAAAAGGGGTGGGAAACACAGACAAAAGATGATCACTAGCTTGATTCTCTATTGTGGGTATGGGGTTTTCCCTAGGCATAGTAGAAATGGGCATGATTAGGGTTCTGGGAGATGTTACAGGAGAAGAATATAGTGCAGATGTTTCCAGAACTTGTCGTCTAACGTTCTCTTGCTCCAGAGATACTTTCTGGGCACGAACAGCAGTTAAGTATAAAGCAGATTCAAGTAACACAGTGGTCAAGGCAAAAACTCCGGCTGCTGCAAATAAGCCCTGTTTGATCACAAGGCATGTTGTTCTGGGATTGTTCCAGTTTCTGAGATGTCCTGATTCCACACTCACTCCTGCTAGTAATAGAATCTCCCCTACTGCAAAACATATCCTAAACACGCCAACGCCAACTTATTTGAATATCTGATGAGCATATCTTGCATTGGAATTCCAAGGCAAGAAAGACTACGGATATGGGACATTGATTATGATTGATCTTACTTACCAGGTTGAAATGAAGAGGAACCCAGTTTGCCATGTTAGAAACCTTGCAGAAGAAGAATCAGGCTCCCACGAAAGTAAAGCTGGTGATTTACTAACAGAAATCATCAAGTAAGCATGCTCCACAACCATGGCAATTGCAAGACCAACAAAAGCACAAGCAGCACATAGCAGTGGCACTTTTCCACTATCATTGTATACACACACGGAGTTCTTCCCTCCCTTTTCGTCTCCTTTGTACATTGCCTGCCACATCACATACCCCCACCATATCAAATTCTGGTACACATGACTCACCATTATAAAATATGGAATGATATTATAATCTCAATTGTCACATTGTATTTGATACAGATATCAGGCTATTATGGGTTACAATGCACATACACTTTAGCCATGTTTTCAATGTGTCCAACACATGAACCATACATAACACCAAATTTCAATTTTCACGTAACAAAATTCCTCAAATGTCATCTCGTCACTATGATATTGTTCATAGCATATTGGTGCTTCAGATTTCCTCAAATGCTGGTGTTTCCATAGGTTTCCTAGTGTATAACGTATGATGACAACTCGACAATGTCAGTTTAATGCTATCAACACTATCACAGATACGAAACGCAAAACAGCACTAAGAATATGGCAACATAAAAAGAAGCAGAAATTGTACCTCTGAACGCGTGGCTTCTGCAACGAGACAGAGAGTGAAGCAGACGAAGCCCAAAAGAATGGTCAAAATCACAAGGCACGCACCAGTTTTGCTTCTCAAATCGATTCTGCTATGGCCTGGTTCAAGATCAGCATGCGTGACTGCCATTTTTCGAGGCATATTGAAGTCGAAACAAAACTGAAGAGCAATGGAAGAAAGAGAAGAGGGAACCGAGGGCATTTAATTAAGTTCAGAGAAAAAGAATATGGAGAAAGAAGGAATTGGAGTTTCAGAATTGCTTGGGGTAAAGGTTGCTTATGATGAAAGATTCTTAGGTTCTGGGAATATATACTAAGCATTCACACAAGGGAAATCGTTGCTTCACACTAAAAAGTTCAGCTTTGAAGCTATATTTGATGATAATGGTCAAAAGTTTGTGCTTGTCTACACAGCTACACGTGTATGTGTATGCTTGCCTTTCAGTTTATTTAGTTACATGCAGGCGTTGATGGAATTTCATTCAAACCCACCTTCAAAATATGAAAACAATCTTGGGTGATGTCATTACATATTCATATGATCCTGCAACGCATTTTTGGTGGCATGATCAAATATTTCTGGAGAAAGGAGGAGATAAAGGGAATATATATATAAGAGAGAGAATGAATTCTCTCCTTCGATTTGAGGCAAAGCAAATAAAAAAGATGGACGGCTTATAAATTATTCCGTGGGGCTTAATAGTTAATATTCTTCGTTCAAGCGTTTAAAAGATAAGCGCTGTGTTGAGCATAACCACAAAGTTCCAGAAAGTGCTTTCCTGATAGACACCTAATGATTGACGTTGACATGTGTGGAGGTACGTGGGAGGGTAGTGCTCTTGGAATAACGAGTATGGTTTATCTGCTGGATTGCATATATTATACGGGAAATAAACGTAAAAAAATAAATTTTATGCATGCTATATTATTCTCTCTTCTATCCTGTTGTAACACTATAACTTTTTTTTTTTTTTACCCATGTCATTATAACACTGTTGAGATCATAACCCAACATTTTGATTCTGGTTTTGAACTGACTATGGAACATAAGAGAGTTTGATACAAGGAAGTTAAATTTGGGAATAGCACATATCGGATGATGGTTTTCCTTGTTGAAAAATACAAGCTCTCATTTGAATATGTGATCATCTCCTATTAAAGCCATGAACTTTTCCCTACAATGACTGATTCAACGGAGCTTAGCTTATCAAATCAAAGTAAGACTATTTACTATTTAAGATTTGCATGATGATAAGATAAAAGAACTTCGTCTAGAGGTGAAAGTGTTGCGAACCACTCTTTTTAGTTTGCAGAGTCTCAAAGTTTCAAATATTTAATGGAACGAAGCATCCGACTTGTAAAAGGCTAGAGAGAGATCGCATAGGTGGATCGTATGTGTAAAATAGAAAATGCTACAAGTGCATATAAATAAATTTCTTAATATGAAAGGCAGCCAAAAAACTTATTCCCTGAGTTATGAATGATTCTTTTACAAGTGATTCCTTGTGCATCCCATAAAGTCGGCTCTTCCTGTGAACCCACCGGTTCCCTTCATATATTCCCTTCGAACGCCTATGGTCTGTAATCAATGAGTGGAAAAAAAAAATCTCCAGAAACCACCTTAAAAGCTGAAAAATGCCCCGCTTTTTCTATCATCGCTGATTCATTAGAGTTCATCTTAGTTTCTTGAACATCCTGCTGTTTCTGCATCTTGGAAAGAAAAAATGGCTTGCGAGAAGGACAGGTCAGGAGGGCTCGATACTAGCAGCGGTAACAGCAACATCAAGCAAGGAGTCTCTCTTGAAGAAGCTTCTCATACGAATGGCACAACCAAATCCAATATGGGGAAGGAATTGGCACGAAGAGCTCTTCTGAGGTCTCATCAGCGTCGTAACGGAAGAAGGAAAATTGCAAATAACAGTGTCAAGTCGTTGCCAAGCAGGTTAAGCAAAGTTTCGCTGGCAGAAGATTCAGGAGAATGAAAACCTGTAGGTATGGCACAACTCAGAATGTATAATTTACATATCTTGTTAAAAAAAAAAATGACAAGCAAATTGCCAGTTACGTGGCAACATGGACATGCAGTTATGGAAGTCTAAGGTAAGATTTATTTTGCGAGTGAGATTGGCAAATTTTAGAATCATGGAAAGCTATCGGGCTTTGAATATAATAGTTTATGTTCTAGAGATGAAAAGCACAACCAAACAACGTTGAGTGTAATGATGTATTTAAAGGCAAGTCTTTTCACTAATGTTTTTTTTTTTTTTGGACGTATTTCACATCCCATACAAGGAGAAACCTAAACCCAGTTTCAGATATCGTGAGACGACAAATTCTTGGTAATCATAAACCCATTTCCAGTTGAAAGTACAGGTAGTACATTATATACAGCAGGTAATCAATCATCACATTGCATATTCAGATAAACATGTCCGGTAAACCATGATCATCCACGAAGCATCTTATGTTACCAATAAATTCATATCCAAACTTGGATTCACAAGCCACGATATCCATGATTACAATCTGACGGCCCAAGCGTAATGAGCACCCAATTCTTATTCTCGGTAAATGAAATGCACGAGAATATAACATTCACCCATTCCCGTAGCTAAGCGATTGTGAATGATCATTAAGGTAACCAGAATCGTGCTGGTCTTTTGCTCACATTTCATAATTTGCGTTACTATCAAATTTGCAGGAGCTAATGCACGGAAAAAGAATAATGGGCATTGAAATAAATAATTCACTAATTTTGTACATGTGGTACCACTTCCCCTCACTCTACGAGTAACCTAGTGCGTCCCCATTCAAGTTATCACCAGCCATTGTCGAGCAATCAGATGCATCATGTCCGTAATGCCCACACAATGGCCCTGAAATATGTCTCCGCTTCCTACTTATATCAACTCCATCTCTTGCCCTTCTCTCCTTTAGTTTTCCTAAAGTGATGGAATCATGGGGATTTGTAATCGTAAAACCATGAATTATACCATCAGCATCATCCACCTCCGGCAGTATCAGTGACTCTGATTGATAATTATATGCAATGCCATTCACCCCATGTGTTGACCTAGGAAGGGTTTTGATACGCGATAAAACCATGGAGATTTGCTCGCAAGCAGCACCAAGGCGTTCCTCTGTTTCAATGGATTCCATGACAAGTGTTGAAACCATGGATTCCAACAATTCTATTCTTTCAGAATGATCCCTGGAAGTTGTAACCCTGAAGGGGTTAGCAGAAGATGAACAGGTACCACGCCAACGGGTAGGTACATATTGGTCAGGAATGTGAAAACAGTTATTATTTGACATGACTCTTAAAATATGTCTGCATAAGATGCCTGAAAACTCAAACAGACGGCAGCTGCAGCTCATGTGTTCTGGCAAGGAACCCAAAATACTTTGCACCCTCCATCCATCTGAGTGTGGTGTCTGACCTGAAAGCAACCTTCATCAACCAGAAATGATGCATATTGTGGTGCCAAAACTAGCTCATCCTGCAGTTTATTAAAGGCATAAGGAGTAAGCATTGTAGCAGCATGGGATTCAATAGGTGAACCGGTTTTAAGGCACACTTTCTGCAGTTTTCGTTGCATCTTTTGCTTTGACCCAGCCCGGTCATTAAATTCAACAATATCGGCAACCTGTTAAAATTGGCATTTGAGTACAACATCAGATATGAATAATTAATAACTGATAAATAAATATAAAGGACTTCACTGAAAATAATAAAGGAAAAGAAGTGCGTAACACATACATGCTCTACAAAGCGATTTAGTTGAGACTGGGCACCCAAGAGCCGTTGGACGAAAGCATTAATGGACTCAGATTGGCTTGTGCTGGTCAATCCTGCAAAGAAGTAGCACCTCAAGAACGGTAAAGCCCAAAATGTCCTTAATGAGTATAAGCTAACAATGTGCTTATTCGCATGGAGTGCATATTTATCAACCATTTGCCCCCAGCCTTCCTCAAAATCTTCCACCAGTTCCAAATTGTAGAGCCGATGGAACTCAGCTTTCCACTCATCATAATGTGATCCAAGAAGTACAGAAAACCAGTCAGAGAACTTCGCAATAATGTGCCATATGCAAAAGGCATGTTTGGTTTCAGGCATTTCAACAGCAATGGCTTCTTTCAGCCACATGTTATGATCAGTTAACATGGTCTGCGGAGCCTTTCCTTCCATGAAGCTTAAGAATGCCTGTGTATTTGTCAATTAAGGGGGAAAAAGTCAAATGGTGTGTACATATAAAGGAATTTTGGTGACATGGAACATCCACATGAGTATAAATGTATCTAAGAAGGAAAGGACCACATGCATTGAAAAGAAAAGTTCCACAGAAATTATGCTGCTTTACTTTTTAGTAAATTCATCTATTGTGGAAGAAGTGGATATTTATTTATTTTGGCAGGGGGGCAGTAATCAGATTTCTCTTAATGGTGCGGCAGTTATCAAATTTCTCTTGATTTTTTCCGAGCCCTAACATCAAAGTAGATTAAGCAAATGATTAAGCTTGCATTAGATAGTATACAATGGAGAAGTAAAATATTTGACCTTGATTGTTAACAGGATAACTCCATTAGGTTCTTAATTACCTTTAGAGCCCATGAAAAAGACTGAATATTTTCATCCCGCAGAAGGGTACAACCAAAGAAACAAGTCATTCCATGATTGTCCACTCCAAGCCAAATTCCCAACAACATGTCATAGGCATCCAGACGATGCGTTGTATCAAAAACCACAGCATCTCCAAATGACTCATACAATTGAACAGATGAAGTGTAAGACCAGGCAATATGCTCTAGCCTGTTATTACTATCAATCTTAAACTCATACTTGAAGTTGTGGTTTTCATCTTTTAGTCTCTTGCACATAGCAATAAGATCAATAGCATCATTGTCTCTATCAACATTTCTAAATGACTGCAACAAGTTTCTCACGTCAATCTCTGTGAACGGTAAACAACCAAGTTTGATGCCTTTCTCAAGCTCCATCAGTCTTAACATTTGCCTCACTGACATTCCAGCTTTAGCAAACATGCAGATACGGCTCTTGTCATCTGGAGATATTGCACAATATGCTGGAAGAAGACGCACCTCATTGGATTTTAATAACTCATGATTATGGATGTTGCTAAATCCCGTCACTCGCCATTCAGGGACATCAAAATCTGCCCTTTTGACAATGCGCATGTATGCTTGACAGCCGCAACGA